TCAATACCCTGTCTGGTATGAGTGAAACTAATTACTCCTAACCTCATTTGGTATGAGACTTTTCAGCCTTATACAACTAAGGATACGTCCACAGTAGGGTTTACTTTATGTACCAAGTCCGTACACTCTCTCCTATGATACTTAATATGCCTTTTTATCGATTTATGCATGCATATTTTCCATTGTATTTAACCCATGTAAGACCCGTACTTTAATTAATACTAGAATATAAAGTTCATGTTTCAAAACCCGTTACGAAAATAAAGAAAACATAATTAGAAATAAAGTAAAACGTCATGGTAGGATAAAATCTTTTATATTCAATAGCATGAACAATAAAATGAAATAAATATGTCAAAGTGAAATTAACAAGGCATGATACGATAACTAAGCAGAGCGAAATAAATAAACAACTCAGAGTGAAAACAAAATGAAACAAATACAACGATTCAAGATGTATAACTTATGCATGAGTTTTAGATAGACATAGTGAGATAAGGGTGAAAATAGGTTAGGTCAACAGAAAGAAAATAGGCGACTACGGAGCAAGTAAATTAGCAAAAAAAAACAAAAATAAAATATAAATAAAATAACAAACACCATAAGATAAGAATTGAAACAAAAATAATGAATAGATAGCACACAGTAAACTAGTGGTAAATATAGACAATCGTTTAACAAGCTCCATCAGCAACTTGTATTTAATTATCAAGGATTCACATAACAGCTTAAAATTGCTGTTTATTATCTATCAACTTTGATTTAACTGTAATAGGAAAAAGGTTGAGGTATCTTTACCCTGGGTCCAAGTCCTGAACACCGCATTTTTCAACTACAGTTTGTAGCGGTTTTCGACACTCGAATTTCTTGGGTTTTCTGGTAAAATTTTGAAACACATATTAAAATGACATGAAAATAGATAAGGGATGGTGAAAAAAGGTAGAAAAAAACTCACAAGGGTCGAGTTGGGATTCCGGCACGACGGCAGTGCCGAGCTTCGTCGCCTGGTTCTCCTTCTCCGGCGTTTCTCCCTCTCGGCCAAACTGATACTGGTGGGCTCCTAATAGAAATTAGTGTAGATCATGGAAATGAGGGTGTTTTACAGAGAAAAGAGGGAAATTTTAGCCTTACCAGGCGATTTTCGATCTCTGGTGCGGTGGCACAACCTAACTCCATCGTCTCTCTCTCTCAGTTACGGCTTTTCTTAGTTATTCTGCATCAAGAATGGTTTAAATAGCTTAGACGAGAAAACGAGAAGAACGAGAAGAAAAATTATGCTCACCAGTGTGTTTTGGGTCTCCAGCACGGTTGTGCTGTCATCTATCCAGTGACTTAGCTTCTCATCCGACCACCCTTTTTTTTCTTCTCCGATCAGGATGTTGGCTAGAGTTTGGGAGCCGACTGAAGAGAGGTTTAAATACCTATCTTCGATCGATCTAGACCTTTCAACTCAGGAGACATGGAGGCACACAGGCCGTCTGATCGCGCTTGTTTAGGGAATTCATCTGGGTCATTTAATCTAGGGAACGTAGAGGCACGTGGGCCATCTGATCGAGCCTTTTTAGCAAGTAAATCTGGACCATTCGTGCTTGCGGGAGTGGCCCCAAATCGTCCACTCGGCCTAACACGTGGATTACCAACGTGGGCTTCCCGTGTGAGCCCGTGTTAACGCGGCCACCACGCAACGTGTGACGATTCGTTGTGCTGCTGACTAGGCATCCACGTGGCCTGATTTTTTTTTTTATATGAATTAAACCATGTTTTCTAAATTTCTTTTCAAATAGGTCCCCCCTATATTACAGTTATACCCAAGCTTCTGAATTTATTTTCAAAAAGGTCCAAAATTAATCCTTTAATTATTTCTTTATAATTTGGTGATAAATTAAATTTTATTTACTCGTTTGGCGATAGAATAGAAAACAAAAGGAGATGAATGAGTAGAAATTCTTGAATTTAAACAAAACAAAAGTATTTTTGTTAAATCAAAATTAAATGATTACATCTCAAATTTGGGGTGTTACAACTCTTCCCTTTTAAGAAAATTTTGTTCCTCAAATTGTTATCATTCATTGAACAGTTGAGGATGTCTAACCCTAAAGTCCAACTCTATCTCCTAAATAGCTTCATCCTTTGAGTGATTCTGTCATAGAACTTTGATGAAGGGGATCCTCTTGTTGTGGAACACTCTCTCTTTTCGGTCAACGATGCTGATGGGTACTTCTTCACAAGAAAGATCCTTCCGGAGTAGAAGCGATTTATAGGACAAAACATGTGAAGGATCATGGTTGTACTTGTGCAACATTGATACATGAAAAACATCATGTATTCTAGATAATTCTGGTGGTAGTGTTAATCTGTAGGTAGACATCTCAATCCTATCTTAAATTTTGAATGGTCTGATGAACCAAAGACTCAGCTTCTCCCTTTTTCCAAACATAATGATGCCCTTCAGGTGGTGACCTTAAGGAAGACTCGAATTCCAAATCTCTCATTCGTGTATATGCATAACTCTTATGTCTACTCTGCGCTGTTTAGATATTTTTTTTAAACTTTGGCAATCTTCACTGTGGTATCATCCACAAAGTCTGGGTCAGTCAATTTTTTGTCACCTATTTCTTCCCAACAGATTGGTGATCTACAAGGTCGACCATACAATGCTTCATGTAGAGCTATACCAATACTTTTCTAGTAATTGTTATTGTAGGCAAACTCTAACAGGGGGTAAATGATCATCCCAATGTCCTCCGAAATCTAAGGTACAAGCCCTGAGTATGTCCTTTAGTGTTTGAATAGTCCTCTCTCACTGTCCATCAATTTGAGAGTAGAATGTCATACTAAGTGATAATTTGGTCCCCATCGCTTGTTAAAAACTAGTCCAAAACCTAGAGATAAACCTGGGCCTTCATCATTCTGCATTTGAAGATCATCATATGAGCTAACATACCTTCACTCATCCTACTGAGAGCATTGGTCACCACGTTGCTCTTGTCTAGGTGGTACAAGATCTTACAATCATAATTTTTGAGAAGTTCTATCCGAACGCATCTGACACATATTGAGGTCTTTCTGTGTGAATATGTACTTCAGGCTCTTATGGTCTGTATAGATGTCAAACATCTCTCCATACAAGTAATAACACCAGGTTTTTAAGGCGTAAATAATTGTGGTAAACTCCAAATCGTGATGGGGTAATTCTTTTCATAATTTTTCAATTGTCTGGACCCATAAGTTACGACCTTTCCATGCTGCATCAAAACACAACCCAAGCCTTAGTAGGATGTGTCACTGTATACTGTATATCCACTTGTTCCATTTGGTAGAGTCAACATTGGTGCAGTAGTCAATCGCCTTTTGAGTTATGTAAAGTTTCTTTCACATTTCTCATTCCACTCATACTTGACATTTTTCTTGGTGAATCGCGTCAGGGGGGCTGCTATGCTTGAGAATTATTCCACAAATCTACGGTAATAACCTGTCATACCTAAAAAATTCCTAACTTTCTTGACCGTAGTTAGTTGTTT